TTGAGATATCTAATTTTGGCTGACTAACCCTAAAAATTTTCTCTAAACGCCCTTTGGGCGCCAAATTATACGCGATTTTTGGTCAAAATTTTCCAAAAAGTGCCTAAAAACACCTTTTTAAACAGACATCTTTCTAAAATGAGCTTATAAACACTTCTTTATGCGTTGGGAAAACTGAACTTCAAATACAATGTCACCAGCGGGTTAAAGGAGGTTCGACCACTGTCGACGCAAAAATTCCCCACTTTGTACTATTTTGAGATATCTAATTTTGGCTGACTAACCCTCAAAATTTTCTAAAAGCCCCTTGGGCGCCAAATTATTCGCGATTTTTGGTCAATTTTCCAAAAAGTGCCTAAAAACACCTTTTTAAACTGACATCTTTCTAAAATGAGCTTAAAACACTTCTTTATGAGATGGGAAAAACTGAACTTCAATTACAATGTCACCAGCGGGTTAAAGGAGGTTCGACCACTGGCGACGCAAAAGTTCCTCACTCTACTACTTTGAGATATCTAATTTCGGCAGGATAACCCTAACAATTTTCTATAAGCGCCCTGGGCGCCAAATTATACTCGGTTTTTGGTCAAAATTTTCAAAAAAATGCCTAAAAACACCTTTTTAAACAGACATGTTTCTAAAATGAGCTTATAAACACTTCTTTATGTGATGGGAAAAACTGAACTTCAAATACAATGTCACCAGCGGGTTAAAGGAGGTTCGACCACTGCCGACCCAAAAGTTCCCCACTTTGAACTATTTTGAGATACCTAATTTCGGCTGACTAACCCTAACATTTTTCTATAAGCGCCCTGGGTGCCAATTTATACTCGGTTTTTGGTCAAAATTTTTCAAAAAGTACCTAAAAACACCTTTTTAAACAGACATCTTTCTAAAATGAGCTTATAAACACTTCTTTATGCGTTGGGAAAAACTGAACTTCAAATACAATGTCACCAACGGGTTAAAGGAGGTTCGACCACTGGCGACGCAAAAGTTCCCCACTCTGTACTATTTTGAGATATCTAATTTTGGCTGAATAACCCTAAAATTTTTCTAAAAGCGCCTTGGGCGCCAAATTATACGCGGTTTTTGGTCAAAACTTTCCAAAAAGTGCCTAAAAATACCTTTTTAAACAGACATCTTTCCAAAACGAGCTTATAAACACTTCTTTACGCGATGGGAAAAACTGAACTTCAAATACAATGTCACCAGCGGGTTAAAGGAGGTTCGACTACTGCCGACCCAAAAGTTCCCCACTTTGTACTATTTTGAGATACCTAATTTCGGCAGACTAACCCTAACAGTTTTCTATAAGCGCCCTGGGCGCCAAATTATACTCGGTTTTTGGTCAAAATTTTTCAAAAAGTACCTAAAAACACCTTTTTAAACAGAAATCCTTCTAAAATGAGCTTATAAACACTTCTTTATGCGTTGGGAAAAACTGAACTTCAAATACAATGTCACCAGCGGGTTAAAGGAGGTTCGACCACTGGCGACGCAAAAGTTCCCCACTCTGTACTATTTTGAGATATCTAATTTTGGCTGACTAACCTTAAATTTTTTCTAAAAGCGCGTTGGGCGCCAAAATATACGCATTTTTTGGTCAAAATAATTCAAAAAATTCCTAAAAATACCTTTTTTTTTGCATTTTTTATTTCAAAAAATCACTTGCGGCGCCGGAATAATGGTCAAATTAGGGTCTTATAGTTATTTAGTAGAGCTCAGAAAATCAAATTGGATGACCTTAAAAAAGGTCGACAAAGTTTTTGAAATTTTTTTTTAAAATCCGCTCCCCCCTCGAGAAAATCCTATACAATGTTATGTTCATTGATGCTCCTGTTTCTAAAAAACTAAACTTAAAACTATTTTTACAAATCAGCAACTTACATATTTTCTTAAAGTTTATATCTACGAAAGCAAAGTAGATACAAATAAGAACTTAATTGCCCACTTTTATGGGAAGCTTGTGTAAAAGTAAACAAAAAAATAATTCCATAGTTTTCTTGCTAAGTAAATGCCGACCGTAACATAGAAACTCTTGCAGACACTGAATAGGACGGACGTGGCTACGAACCGAAATAGTACATTTGTCACAGAAACAGATTAAACTGTCACATATTAAATACAGTCATTAAGAAAATAAGAAACTGACGCAACTCTCTTAATTCTAATTCGGGTTTAGACTGTTTCATGTTGGCTGTTTTGTAGTTTTTGACTATTCGTATGAGTTTTGCAAACATTCTGCAAACAGCCATGAATGATCTCTCCGCTTTGAATGAACCAAAAAATCATTCTTCTACAAAATATGTCTAATACCAAAAGTTTAATCTGAAAATTAAAATCCAGTTTCAAAATTAAAAGTTGTTCACATGTTTTTCGCGCTATTTTGCTCTCTAATTGAAGAGCGAAATTTGTCTTTCTTTTAGCATAGCAATTTGAGTTGAACGTAAGAAAAATCAAAAATCAAATACTCAAAATTACGAAATTGGCCACAAATTTGGACTCAATCAACTATTAAAAAATCACGAACTATGAAAAATCGACAATCGGTTGATTCACTCTTAAATAGGCCAAACAAGTGTAAAAAGCCAATAAACGGCCAACTTTTTCGTTTTGACGTGCAAAACACGTCGCCTTAAGCCTAAAATATTTAAAGTAAAAGCTTATCCGTTTTTTATCTCCATTTTTCTCATATATAGGTAATGCTCACTTAGAAAATTGTTATGGGAAAAAGTTAGATTTTCTCAACGCATTTTCAATATAAAATTTATACGATACCCACTAGTTCGTTAGAGAAAAAACTTTTTTCTAACAAACAGCACGATCTATTTAAATGTCGTCACTTCGTTCCTTAACATTTGAACATTATAACAGATGTTTCTGCCGATCATTTTTTTTTTAAATTAGGTCCCTTTTTCACTTCGAATTGTTTGTTATTTTTTTGCGATGCGTTACTTTATTTTGTACTTCAAAATAAACTTAGTGCCTTGTATTAAAAAATGGCATAAACCCTAGAAACCAGGGGCGGATTTAGGGGGGAAGGGGCGGGGGGGAAGGCGGACGCTTCCCCCCTCAGGGATTCGAACCCCTGCCAACCCAAAGGGTCCCCCTTTGGTACTTTTGAAGAAATCCATTTTTTGCCGACCAACCTTAAAATTTTTCTAAAGGCGCCTTTGGCGCCAATATATACTAATTTTGAGGGGGGAGCGCTCGCCAAAAAAACGCGTTTTTTTTGTCAAAATTTTCCAAAAAGTGCCCAAAAACGGCTTTTTTGACCTGTTTTTTCAAAAAAAATTGCCCGCGGCGCAGAAAATTTGGCCAAAACAGTGTCTTTTTACTGCTTTTTATTTTAAGGTCTGATCGACCTTAAAAAAAAAGGTCGTCAAATTTTTCGAAAATTTTTTGAAAATCCGACCCCCCCCCCCCCTCGAGAAAATCCTAGATCCGCCCACTGCTAGAAACCCTGCCTTTAATTTCCTAAAAACTTTAATTTTCCTGCATTTAGAAACTCTACAAAGAATTAAAAACTAGCATTTTACATGTATTTATTTTTTACTTGTTCAATTTATGATATAGCAAACATTATAAATTTTTTGATTTTTAGTAAAAAAAGCTTTTTTAAACCATTAATAGACCCGTTCTAAAGGTATAATTTTGATTTGTTAAAATGAAACGCATCACAAAAAAACTGGCAAAACTCCAAACCATTTTGTCTTCTTTTTTGTCCAAATTTAACGACATTTGAAAAAAATTGAGTTTTTTTATTTTTGTGTAAGTTCATTTTTTGATTGTTTTAATCCATCACTCTTAAATATTTACCGATTACAAAAAGAATGGTTAAACAGCTCAATAATTTTGAAGTGAAAAATTTCTATGAAAACGTATTGGAAAAATAACCTGTAAATTTCTATTAAAACAATTGCTCATATGATTGAATATATGATTTTATAATATGGAAAACACTGCATTAGCTCATTAATCACGTCATTTTCTTCGAAAGTCTAACAGAAACAAAGCGAAAAGGTTTGAACAGACAAACAATACCACGAAAACAAGCAAGTTTTAAGTAAAAACGAGACTGCTTGTATCAGGGCAAAGCCTTGAACGTTCCGAATGCATTTCAATGTCTATGGAGCAGTAATAGCGAGAAAAATTTAAAAGTAATAAAAATAAAAATGATTTTTTTTAATTTGAGTTTTTTTGTGAAAACCATACCCCAACACGCCATATGAAGTACAAAATGATAAGTTTTGCTACTATTAACAAATCAAATATGACAATTAGGCTTCCTTCAACCAATTTGCAAGGATTTCTATGACGGATTAAGTCTCCGCTTACGCAATAATAGCGCGAAATATATCGCGCGTTAATTGTCCCAAACTGGCCAAAATGGCAATCTTTAAACCCCCATAACTTTACGGGTGAAATCGCAGGTGAAATATCTTTTCAAATTTAAGCTCAGGACAACAAAACCTTTTGAATGATATAAAAAATTTCCGTCAAAATGGCTCATTAAAAAGTCAAAATTTGTCTGAAGAAAAAAAAAAACCACCCCGAGCACAAATATTCCGTTACTTTCGTATCGAAAGTCGGAACAATAACTTTACGAAAACTGGAAGGATTCGACCGCGCTCGGCGTGTGTTTCGACCAAGGTGTGTTTCGACGTGTGCTCGACCCAAACCCTTGTCTCGTCTATGTAGGGGTAAACTGGTACGATGTTTCAAGTTAGCCCCTCCACCCTTGAGCCAAGAACTTAATACAGACACAATAACAAAGACCATTCAACATACGTTCCGATAAGTTTCGTCGAATTGCCTCTACTAGGGCATGTACTCTTTTGAGCGCACGCATCGTACTTTTCTTGCCTTTCTTGCAAGTCCAACCATCATATATTCGATTTTTAATCTCAGTTGATATCGCTTTTGCATTTACAGCTTGGCAGATTAATTTTTGTTATTTTTTGCTTTCAAAAGTATATTTTAACTTTTCTCTGTTCACACACTTGCTGCAGTCAGCCTGATTGCTCTAAGTTTTAAAGCTTCATTAAATATTCAATTCGAGTACACTTGCTTTAATTGGAACGGCCATTAATTGGTATATGCCTAAGTAAACTGCCAAGTCTTCTTAATCTTTAAAAATCTGTTCACATCATCAGGTCTAATTTGCTGCAAAATGAGTTTGAGTCTGTTTAAAGAAATTTTATGCGAGTTTTTTGGGACTTTTATGCTGATGTTCTGCGGCACATCTTCCATAGTATTGAGCGCCAACTCACCCAACATCGACGACATACTAGTGCCGGCGTTTTGTTTCTTCTGTATCATAGTGGCCCTAGTGCACCTAATTGGACCCACTTCGGGGTGCCACATCAACCCAGCAGTGACTCTTGGATTGACACTGATGGGAAGGATCCACCCCATTCATGCATTTCTCTATTCTGTTGCACAGATGATAGGTAACGCATCATACTTTTCGTTAACAGCAAAACTTGCAGTAAAGTAGTCGCAAAATCGTGCCGAAGGCTGGAGGGGGGGGAGGGGGGGGGAGGGGGGGGGTGTATCATAACAATTTATAAAATATGCCTTGCTTAACAATTTATGTTTAACATAATGCTTAACATTTTTTCTGAAGGATCCCCTTCTGACCTCTGATATGCTGTTCTACGGAAGCCGCCTATTCCGGCTTCCCAGTCCCATATTTTTAAGGCGTCAAATTGTCCAACCTCCAAATAAATGTCTTTAGCGCGAAAGAAGATGCCAAATAATGGCGGATCTAGAAACTTCTCGAGAAGGCGGGGCGGATTTTCAAAAACACGTGTCGAACGTTTTTTTTTGAGTTTTTCTAGGTCGACTAAATTGATTTTCCGAGCACTCTCACAACACTATGAAAACCCTTAGTTTGACAAAAAATTTTACGCTGCAGGCAAATAATTGAAAAAAAAAACTAAAGAAAAAAGTCAAATATGACGTTTTTAAAATCCTTTTTTGAAACAAGAAGTAAATCACACGTTTTTTGTGACATTTACACTTTCGTAACTGAGGAGTTCAATTTTTCTAACTCTTAGCAGAAGAAGCTGAATTGAACTAGCATCTACATGTATAGCTAGAAACATTCATAAATTCATTAATATATGAATATGAATGCAGTTCTCTATTTTATTAGAGCATTTAAAAACATTGCCTGAAAAGACAATCATCATCTATATAAGAGTGTAAACTACGTTCAACGACTCCTACAAATTTTGCTCTATTTATAAATACTAAGACAAAAAACCGCCTGACAACCACAAAAAATAGCAAACAAACAGTTGGAAAACATAGTCAATGAACGCAAGTAAACAGAAAAGAAACACTGCCTTATTTTTTAAAGATTTTTCAATTTTCAAACTCCAAAGAAAATTTTTTTTACCTTACAGTTCTTTGAATTTCAAGACCATATGATAGATTATTTTTGATTAAGTTAACCCAATTTGAGAAAATTGTATCAATAGGTTTTTTTTTCGCTGGGAAATCTGAGAAATTTAAAATTCACTTTCAAAGCTAAAAGTCAATCACACGTTTTACGCGACTTTTCCACAGTTGATGCTCGACAGTAGAGTCTGCCTTGCTTTTCACTAAAAAAATGAAACTAAAAAAATTAAATTCAAACCTTAAAATTCAAATATGATTCTGAACAAATCTTAAAAATTTTCTGAAAAAACCAAAAAAATCATCACAACCGATATAAGTGTTTTCGCCATTCTAGGCTGTCATTTAAGCAGGCACTAATGAAAGAAGTAATGTAGTAAGCAGGGGCGGATCTAGGATTTTCTCGAGGGGGGGCGGATTTTCAAAAAAAATTCGAAAATTTTGACGACCTTTTTTTTTTAGGTCGACCAAATTGATTTTTTGAGCTCTCCCAAAGCACTGTTTTGCCCCTATTTTGGCAAAATTTTCTGCGCGGCAGGCAAATTTTTGAAAAAACAGTCAAAAAAGCCGTTTTTGGGCACTTTTTGAAAAATTTTGACAAAAAATCGCGTTTTTTTTTGGCGCGCGCTCCCCCTCAAAGTAGTATATATTGGCGCCCAAGGCGCCTTTAGAAAAAATTTAGGGTGGGTTGGCCAAAAAAGGATTTCTGAAAAAGTATCAAAGGGGGAACCTTTGGGTCGGCAGGGGGTCGAATCCCTGAGGGGAGGGGCGTCCGCCCCCCCCCCCCCCCTAAATCCGCCCCTGGTAGTAAGTATTTCGCAATATTTAGGTGGCATTGTTGGCACTGGCTATGTGTACTTGCTCTCTCCGCGTGACTGGGTGGACAATTGCAGTCTGGGAATGACAAAGGTGCATCCCTCTCTCAACGTGTACCAAGCAGTGGGTTGGGAAGTCACCATCACTGCTCTATTGGTACTCACCGTTCTCCTGCTCAATGAGAGCAATCCAAACCGAGAATTCGAGGTAAACCATTTAACCCCCCTCAGTCCCCAAATTCAACAGTTTGTCACGTTTTGCCTGTTTTTTAAGAACAGAACAGAGCTAAGTCATGTGACATGAAAAAAAAGTTCACAAGTTTTTGGTTCTGAACGTGAACTAAAAGCACTCGGGATCTCTGCGATGTTTCCATGGTCTAAATCTTGAAACTTATATATCTGAACAATTAACTAATGAAACCCTAAAAAACAATAACTAGATATTACATTATATTTGCTGGGTAATTCAAGAAATAGTTTTGTAGAGCATACTGCATAATTTAGAATTGTATACTACGCCATGTTATGTTCTACCATTTTTTGACTTTGATTTAGTTCGGTTATTCATTCTAGGGCGTTCCTGCTTACAGCGCCGGATTCGCAGTAGTGGCGTGCATCTTCACCGGCGCCGGATTCACCGGGGCTAGTTTAAATCCGGCTAGATCCTTCGCCCCTGCCGTAATCATGTGGGACTTCAAAGATCAATGGGTGTACTTTGTCGGCCCTTTGGGCTCCTCATTTGTGGCTGTCCTTATTTACAAATACCTGCTACGGGACGGAATCATACGTACGAACCCCCATGAATTGCCACAGCAATACCAACTGCATTTGCAGCAACAACAAGAAAAAGACCAACAGCAAAAACAGGGCAAAAAAGAGGAAAAGTCTGAAGAAATGACCACAACTGTTCATCTAAATGTAGGAAACGAGTCATCCAAAGCATAAAACTCTTAAAGTAAAAAGTTAAAAGCTTCCCAGATATTTTCAATTGAAATAACGTAACGATGAATTAACACACTATTAGAAAAGTGTCAATGAGCTCGAAAGAACCATAAAAACGATCAAAGAAAAAAATGGCTTTGAAAGTCTTTGATTTTTTTACCTCACTCATTTTGAAAACTGGATCAATGGGTAGTTTTTATTCCGCTGGAAAGTCTGAAAACCAAACGAGAAGTCGTCGCTTTTTTGCGCCATTTGGTTCAGAAAAAAAAACAAAAATCAAAACTTCCTACATATTTTTTCAGTTCCTTTCTTGACACTTTAAATATGTATATCAAGAACAAAATTGTTAAAAATGAGAATATAATATGAATGACATCTGTTTTAGAGAGAAGTTACTCAATTAAAAAAAAACTGATTCAGACTGAGAATTCTAATTCACTTTTATAATTGAAAATAACATTTGTTTTCTTGATTCAACAGAAAGTATATTTTTGGTACTGCAAATTACATTTTGCTTCCATGTAGCAATTGATCTTGGAGTGAGTTTAAGAAAACAAAACTCAAACCGCGGGAAAACTTTTTTGAGCCTTAACTGGTTTGACCTTTTTCTTAAATTAAATCAATAAAATTTATGTGAATTTATTGATGAATCAAAAGCCAAAATACACAAAAAGACCATCAAATGTGAATTTTTTAAAAACATCCTTCGAAACGTAGCCAATAGACTTTTGGAAAAAAATAGCTATTGCAAGTAAACAAAAAAGACTTATTTTTTTAGACGAATCACAGTTTCCGAACTTCAAAAAACGAATGGACTTAAAGCAAATTGAACTTCAGGAAATACTTATGATTGGTAATTTTCTGACAAAAGTAACCCAATGTGAGAAAACTGAACCACTAGAAAATTTTTTATTTTGATGGGAAATCTGATAATTAAACTCCTTTTCGAAATTAGCAATCAGTCGCTTTTTTGTAAATTTTTCCTTCTTGCTGTTTTACAGTTGATTTTGCTGTCACTTTACCAAAAAAATGAATTTATAAAGAAAAAAGAAGTTGAACCGCAAAAATTCAAAGTGCAGCCTTAACAAAATTTAAGACTTTTGTTCTTGACAAAAAACGAAAAAAGCATCAGAAAATATATTTATATAACATCGACTCTGAAACATTTTTTAATCAGAACAAAAACAACTTAAACAAGAATGTTCACTTTGTTCAAGGATACTAAAATTGGAAATAGCCATGAAACAGTTAGGAAACAGTCATGAACGCTAGGAAACATAAAAAACTGGCTCATTCTGAAAAAAAATTACCTTTTGTACTTCAAATTTATGATTGACACTTTTTTGATAAAAAAAACCTACTTAAGAAAACTGGATCAATGGGTAAGTTTTAATTTAACTAGCAAAACTCATTTTTAAATTCCATTTTTGAAATTATAAGTTGATTACCTTTTTTGACCTCTACAATTTTTTTTGCTTGATTGAGGAATTTGCCATACTTTGAACAATGGAAGGGAACTGAACTTAAAATACAGTGACGAAGCGAAGTTTCGCTTCAATTGCGACATGAACCAACTTTTTTTGAAAATACAAAACATTCAACCTCAAAAAAACAGTCGAGAAAAGCACAACTGCTAGTATTGGACAAGTTTTTATTAAACTCCGAGCGTTCACTAAATCAACGGTACGTGGTTAGACCCTAATTGACTCGAAAAAAAAAATTGCCACCAGAATTCTCAGAAAAACAAAACAGGCCAGAAACAGAATTAAATAAATCTTTGGTATTGTCTGAGCGTTCATTAGGCCAGCAACTTGGGCTTAGACGCTATTTGATCCGAACACAAAAAATTCCAAAAATCATTAAATATCAACTTGTCAGAAAAACTTTTGAAAATACAAAAGTTTCAATCTCAAAACAACTTTTTTTTGAAAATGTGAAAATTTAATCTCAAGACTTTAAAGCAGAAGCCACAGCCACTAGCCATAAACAAGCTTCTAGTTTTGTTTTGAGCGTTCGCTAAGCCGACAACATGTGGAAAGACGCCAATTGATCCGAAACAAAAACTGGGAAAGGAAAATGTTGTCAGACATTGTAGACACTGAAAAACCAAGGTCCGGTTGGGTCTGGAAACCCTGACCATAAGATAGAAGGCAACCACATTTCCTCCGGGCCAAGATAGAGAAGGCCTTGCAAATGCTATGACTCGATATCAAAGCAACATCAAGTTCAGTTACGAATGTGTAAGACCAGTTGTTTACGGAGGAAACAAATCTAGTTCCCGATTACAAAACTGTTGCTGTTGCAATTGTACAGATTTCATCAAACCGCGAAAAACTAAAATTGATCCCCAGCAGAGTTTTAAGACTTTGAGACTCTTAATTTAAAAGTAACATAGGCGCTTGCAACACAAGTACAATAATTACTTAAAAAATCCTCAGTTGCAATAGTTTTACCAACTGACGAAATAAAATTTTTTCTTCCAATTTTTTCTCTTTTTGATTTTTACAGGGTTGTAACAACTTCAGATTGTTATTAAAATTGAATGATAGTTAGTCCAAAATTTCAGAGAGCTATTCAGAGCTAAAACTTGAAATTATTAAAATTTTATCATTTCTAAAAGCTTTGAAAACAGTTTCATTAACAATCCGATGAGTTAGACTGTTTCGTTTGCCCATTTTAACCAGCTTTAAAAAATAATTAATCATAACTCTACTTTCTAGACCAAACGCAGAAAAAATAACTCTAACATTTCATTCTCTTTTTATTTTTGTTGGTTTCAATCTTGAAGTTTCCACACATATCTCTGGTCTGCAAAAAGGTAGGAATCTCTCATAGGCAGAAAACCGAATGAGTGAAAGAAAATCAGCCAATTAGATTTCAGTATTCCGAGATTTGGAACGAAAGCCTGAAAATCTTAAAGAAAGTATACATTTCCACGGACATACTTTTAATTTAGCTGAACAAAAAAACGGCAAAAATTGACAATGACCGCCGGCAAGTTGAAACAAATTTTATATTTCAAGGGTTTCATTGTTTGTTTTTGGTCTATGAGTTCTTTTTTAGTGAAAATCGAAGTAAATTTTGTCCAAAATGGACATTGAAAACAAGCGTTTTAGAGAGAAAAATAATCGATAAATATTGCGATTAATTTTATCCAGCAGTGTATTGGCATGGTCCGTTGAATCCTAAAACTAGGATTATAATCATTTCTTATTCATGAAACCTCACTGCGGGTAGTTGTATTGGATTAGTGATTACGCCCCTAGGTTTGTTCATACTCATTATTTAAATAATTATGTTATGGCAACTCTTTTTTGCGTTTTTGCCATGCCAACTTATTTTTGCGTCCCAGTATATAATAGAACAAAAAGTAATACAACTAGAAAAACTAAAAACAAAAAATGAGATAAAGTCTTCTTGAAAAGACAAAACAAATTTTATGCTTGTTGTTGCCTCTAGGTAGTGATACACCTAGTTTTTATCTGAGAAATTTACAAAAAGTTTGAGAAATTGAAAAACAGCTAAAAGCTCATTTTTCAAATCTTTTGTAGATGAATTTATAACAGTTTTTGCAAAATTTTCTAAACCTAGCGAGAGAACGTGAAGTGAAGTTGCATCTCAAAAAATTAAATGACATTTTTCAGTACTTACTGTTTTTTTTCAGTTTTTTTCCGAATTAAAAATATACGAATTTTTGTTCCTTTGATGAAAAGACTCACTGTCTGTCAGATTTCAATTTTTTCTGTTTGACCCTTTGCTGCCGGTCACTGTGATATTTTAGCTCGAATTTGACTCTATTGAGATTCGAAACAGTCATTGAAAGCGAGCTTTTCAAAGAAGAAAAACCAGAATTTGCAAATTTTGCAGCCACAATTGTATTTATGGGTTTCTCCTTACTTCGATAATTTAACCAGATACCAGGATCTTAGATAGGACCACTCTGCTTATTGATTTCTGTGAATTAGACTGAGTTAGGACCGATGGGTATAACTCATAGAGTAATTTCGGATAGGGTACACCGTCTGCTCGTCACGCTATCTTATTTTCGGCCGGATAGATTCGTGCAACTTCTTAGTCTAGTACCGATCCTAATCTTACTCTTATACTGTCTAGTCTCAGGTTGTTTAACTAGTCTCTGCTAGGCTCAATAGATCTAGGGTATACTGGTTTATTGCGGCTGCTGAAGTACTCGGGAGAGTTCAACTAATTTCTAAGTTAAATTCAAATCTCTCTGGTGCTGAAATTACAAGTAATTTCAGCACTTACAAATAAGTGGATTGTTAGTTAGATGGATCATGATTGGTTAATATTAAATACTTTACATTGGTAAAATATCTAATTTATCCAATCATAAAATGTAGTTTAGATCAGGTTCCACCCATCCGGGTTTTACAGAGTTTTTTAGAATAGTCTTTCTGCAATTCAAAAGATGGATGATGGACGTTGGTATTTGGCGAACATCTTATTTCTTCTGGGTTTTCTTATTAGAGAAGTCCCAGATTCAATCGTTGTGTCTTCTCAAGACAACGACTGGGTTTTCGCAACAAACTCAAATCTGATTTCAGAATGGTTGGCTATGTCAGGTTTTTCTGTTTCATTGGTGAGAACTTCTTTGTGTTTGACCTTGTCTGGGAATGGCGTGGAGATTGTGCGTGGAGGGGATGCCTGGTTAATCGGATCTGTACGTATACTTGAACATCGAGGTGGTCATTGGTCTAGTTCAATGAAGTCCTTTTCTGCGAAGTCAAGTCGTACTCTAAATCCTTTGAGTTGTGATTGTGGGCGGCATATTGATTGTAGTTGGCCATTCTTTCTCGAGTGTAGTAGGGTCGTTTTGTCTTTGGATGTTCGTCCTTGGTGTTGTATTCTGATCTATGTATTGCATAATGTAATTTACATTTTATAAAACTTTTATTAGTTTAATATTTTTTAATTATGATTTTAGTTAGTTGTTTTCACAAAAGCTTTTTGTTTTAGTTCAGTTATTTTGAAGAGTTACTCACCCTTGAGTAGCTCTTATTAAAAATAGGAGTATGGTCACAAAGCGTGGATGTAGCGCGGTGGGTT